AAAAAAAAAAAAAAAAAGGCTTGGAAAAACCTCTGGATGCGTGGAGAAAAATCTCCGGGATTGGGATTTTTCCTTCTACTTCTGCCAGAGGCCGGGCTGTTCCAGCTGCTGCTCCAGGGGAGGGAATTTCTCTGGAAGGGAGCGCTGCTCCGGGATCTCCTGGAATTCCTGCTTTTCCTGGGAGCACGTGACGGGGTCTGGGAGTGGGATGGGGACAGGGGTCTCCTGGAATTCCTGCTTTTCTGGGATGGACACGGGGATTTCCTTGCGCTCCTGCTTTTCCTGGGAAGGCGGGATGGGTTCAGGGCACGAAACTGGGATGGGGATTGGGGTCTCCTGGAATTCCTGCTTTTCTGGGATGGACACCGGGATTTCCTTGCGCTCCTGCTTTTCCTGGGCACACGGGACAGGATCGGGGATGGACACCGGGATTTCCTGGCATTCCTGCTTTTCTGGGATGGACACCGGGGTTTCCTGGCACTGCTGCTTCTCCTGGGAACACGGGACAGGGTCAGGGTGTGGATCAGGGATGGACACCGGGATTTCCTTGCATTCCTGCTTTTCTGGGATGGACACCGGGATTTCCTTGCATTCCTGCTTTTCTGGGATGGACACCGGGATTTCCTTGCATTCCTGCTTTTCTGGGATGGACACCGGGGTTTCCTGGCGCTGCTGCTTCTCCTGGGCGCAGGGAACCGGGATCTCCTTGGCCTCCTGCCTCTCCAGCGTCGGTTCCGGGCGGGATTTCTCTTCCAGCGGGAATTTCGGAGGGAATTCTGCTTGCTGCTGCTCCTGGGGCGGATTTTCCCCTTTTCCCGGTTCCACGCCCGCCGCTGGAATCGCTTTTTCCTCGCATTTCGCCACCGCCGGGAGCGGCTCGGGGCAAGGAGCGGGCACCGGGATCTGGGGATTTTGGGGCTCCGGGATCGGTTTTGGGGTGGTTTTACCCAGGCCGGGGGGGAGCGTCAGCTCCTGCTTGATTTGCATCTGGTTCAGAGACATCTCTGAGGGAAAACGGGATCACCTAGGGGGGGAAAAAAAAGTGGGAATTTCTTGTGGTACCGGGACGAGGGTGATGGGAAAAAAACCAACAAAAAATCAACAATAACCACAAAGTTTTCCTCTTCTGCCCTTGGCTTCCCGAGGTTTTTCCCTAAGGAATGGGGGTTTATTCCTCCTTTTCCATCCTGCCCTGATCCCATTCCTCCTTTCTGAGGAGGCAGAGCCGCCCCTTTGAACCCGCGGCTGATTTCTGCTTCACAGCTCTTCCCAAATTCCCAAATCCCTTGGATTTTTGTCCTGGGGAGCTGAATAAACCCCAAAATAACAACACCAAAAAAAAAAAAAAAAAAAAGGCGAAAACCAAACATTTCAGTGCATTTGGTGCCCCAGAAAAACAAAAATATAAATGTGGGGCAAACGGGGTGATCCGGACTGATAAACCCGAAATAATTCCCGCTTTTTACGCCTGGATTTTCAGCTTTTCCTCGGAATTTGGAGCGCCGGAGGAGGTTTCTCCAGGCTCCGGCGAGCTGGGGGTTAAACCCGCAGGGGACAGCTCCTCCCCTCGCTCCGCTCTCGGTGACAACGCCGAGGATTTGGAACCTGGCTCTGTCCTGGGCAGGGAATTCTCATGGATAAAGCCGGGATTGTCCCCAGCCGAGTCAGGGTTTCTCCTCCCGACAATTTGGGGACAATTTGGGGACAATTTTGCGGCTGCCGAAGGCTCGCCCGGACCCGCGGGAATTCCTGAGCTGCCGCCTTCCCAAATCCCAGCCCAGGAGTGAAAGGTGGGAATCCCAAAAGAGGGGCTGGAAGGGATTTGGACCCGTCCCCGAGGAAGAGAGAGGGGAAATTCCTCCTCCCTTCCCTGCGGAGTTCCCAGCTCCCCTCACAGCCAATTCCCTCCTCTCTTCCCTTTTTGATAAGACCTTAATTACTTTATTTATTAATTAATTAAGACCTTGATCATGACACGGATGAGGCGGCACATTTGGGGAATATTTTCCTTCCTTGTCTCCCTGCTCCCAAATTTGCCTTTCCCCCAGGAATTCCCTGGTGAAACGGGAGCTTTCGGAATATTTTGGCCGCAAAATCACTGGAAAAATCAAATTTGGTGCCCTTCCCTGGAGGGAGGAGATCCCTCCTTAAACCAACGGAATTCCGTCTGGTCCCGTGCCTCGGGAAGGGTCTAATTTAGGATTTAATTACCCTCAGATTTAGACTCGGTCTTAATTTGCCTCCCAGAGCCATTTCCAAGCCACCCCAACGCCCACAAATTCCCTCCTTTCCAGGAACCCTCCAGGTATCCCAAGGCACCAAATCCAACTTTTCCTGAAGGGCTGCGGAGTCGAGGAGCAGAACCCCAAATTTCCCGCCCAAAAAAATCTCGGGATTCTTAGTCCCAAATATCCCCCTCAAAATCTCGAGATTCTGAATCCCCAATATCCCCCTCAAAATCTTGGAATTCAAAATCCCAAATTTCCCCCCAGAATCTCGGAATTCTGAATCCCAGACCTCCCCAGAAGTCTCGGAATTCTGAATCCCAAATATCCCCCCAAAATCTCAGGATGCTCAGTACCAAACCTCCCCAAAAATCTCAGGATTCTCAGTCCTGAATATCCCCCAAAAATATTGGGATTCTCAATCCCAAACCCCCCTGAGGCATCTCTGGTTTCTCAACCCCAAACCCCACTGAAAAAAAAAAATAAAATCCCAGAACTCTGAATCCCAAACCTTCCCCAAAAATCCCGGGATTCACCAATCCCAGAGCTCCCCAGGGAATCTCCGGACTCGCGGACTCACCCAGGCGGCGCCGAGGGAGCAGCGGGAGCGGAGTGGATGCGGGAGCCGGGAGATTTGGGATCTTTTATAGGGTTTGGAAGCCCTGCCTTCTGGGAATGAGTCCTCCTGGCTGATGAGCTCATTCTTTCACAAGAGCCCTGCCCGGCCCGGTTTTACACGTAGGCACTTTCCAGAGAGGATTCCGAGTTCATCCCTTGGCTAATCCCGGTGAAGCGTGGAATTCCTCCCTGGATAAAGCTCCGAGCCTCAGGTTCACGGAGAGACGGAAGAGCCCGGACAGGTTTTGGGGGCTCGGTGGGGTTTGGTGCCACCTCGACCCATCCCGGGGTTGTTCCACAGCTAAAACCCGCTCTGAGTTCTGGAATTCCAGGGATTTATTGAGAATTCCCATCCCGGGGTTGTTCCACAGCTAAAACCCGCTCTGAGTTCTGGAATTCCAGGGATTTATTGGGAATTCCCATCCCGGGGTTGTTCCACAGCTAAAGCCCGCTCTGACTTCTGGAATTCCAGGGATTTATTGGGAATTCCCATCCCAACCCATCCCGGGGTCGTTCTACATCTAAAACCCGCTCTGAGGTCTGGAATTCCAGAGATTTATTGGGAATTCTCATCCCGGGGTTGTTCCACAGCTAAAACCCGCTCTGAGGTCTGGAATTCCAGAGATTTATTGGGAATTCTCATCCCGGGGTTGTTCCACAGCTAAAACCCGCTCTGAGGTCTGGAATTCCAGAGATTTATTGGGAATTCTCATCCCGGGGTTGTTCCACAGCTAAAACCCGCTCTGAGGTCTGGAATTCCAGAGATTTATTGGGAATTCTCATCCCGGGGTTGTTCCACAGCTAAAACCCGCTCTGAGGTCTGGAATTCCAGAGATTTATTGGGAATTCTCATCCCGGGGTTGTTCCACAGCTAAAACCCGCTCTGAGTTCTCGAATTCCAGGGATTTATTGGGAATTCCCATCCCAACCCATCCCGGGGTCGTTCTACATCTAAAACCCGCTCTGAGGTCTGGAATTCCAGAGATTTATTGGGAATTTGGGATCATTTGTGCTTCTCTCCTCTGTTCTTTATCAGTGAACCCTCTGTAGTGGTTTTACTGGGATTGTGAAAAGCAGGGATGGGTTTTCCTGGGAAGAACTTTGTGGATTTCCTTCAACTTTCATTTCGGTTTGGAATCACCAGGAGGGATTTCCTGGAAATTCCGGGAACTTCCTCCTGGAAAGGGCGGTCAGGGGACGCCCAGGGAGCTTTTCCAAGGAATTCCTGGACACCCCCCAGGGCTCTGGGAAGGTGTTGATCCATCCAGAGTTGGACTCAATGGTGTTGGAAGGATTTTCCAACCCCAAAAATCCTGGAATTCTCTGGAGAAATCTCATTTTCCACGGAGAAGGAAAATCCAAATGTGACAGGGCAGGGAACTGAGTTCATCTCCGGGGATTTTTAAGAATGGCCGAGATCTTTCCCACCCAAACGGGATTTGGGGAACCGGCCCCACGGAATTCCAGATGGGAATTTTAAAAGGCGTTTCAGCCTAGATGCAAAATAAAGGGAATTCCGAGTGTGCAGAGCATTCCCTGAGGATTATTCCAGCTGAAAACGAAACAAAACATTTATGGGGTGGGAAAACCCTGAGAAATCCAATCCCAATCCCCCCAGTCTCCACTGGGATTCCGGAGCCGTGAGGCCCTGGAGACGCCGTGTCCAACCCAGACGGGAATTTCGTCACCTTTGGTCATCCCGGGCTCATCTCCGTGGCTTTTCCCGAGCTTTTATCGGATCAAGATCCCAGCACGATCACTTCCAACAGGCTGAGCTGGTCCCGCGTCACCTCCCGGAATTCCTGGGCAGCGCCTGGAAGCGGCTGCTCCCGGCCTGGAGCCACTTCCTCTCTCAACAATCTTCCGGCAGCACAAGGCCGGAAAATTCCGGGATTTTCTCCCGTACGCGCAATTCCCGTTTTTCCCAGGGTCCTGCCTTGCTGTTCCCTCCGGGATAGGCTCGGTTTTAGTCTCCGGCTTTGGGAATACCCCAGCCCGAGCCCAAAGCCTGAGTCAGGCCTTGCCGGCTGCTCCACCGGTGCCGATTCCAGGCTGGAATTAGGGCACTTCCCAGACCTGCCCGGCTGCTTTCGAGGCAGGGCTCGGGAACCGAGATAAGCTCCTGGAATTCTGCCCTTCCCGCTGGGAGATGCCGGGAAGGAGATCGGAGTCCCCGGGGCTCGGCACTGCCCCGTTCCTGGAGGTGTCCGAGGAAAGGTTGGATGGGGCTTGGAGAAACCTGGGATAGAGGGAATTGTCCCTGGGGCTTGGAATGGGATAATCCTGAAGGTTCTTTCCATCCCAAACCATTCCATGATCCTCTGATTTTCTCCGATTCTCTGATTTTATTATTCCATGATTTCATGTTTCCGTTACGCCTCCATTCCCCGATTCCCTGATCCTCTTATTCCATGATTTTCTGATTTCTCTGACTTTATTATCCCATGATTTTATGATTCTGTGATCCTCTAATTCCAGCAATTTGTGATTTTGTGATTCCATGGTTTTCTGATTCTCATAATTCCACAATTCCCTGATTCTATCAATCCCTGATTTTCTGATTATCCAATCTCATAATTCCACGATTCCCTGATTCTATCACTCCCTGATTTTCTGGTTCTCATAATTCCACAGTTCCCTGGTTCTATCACTCCCTGATTTTCTGATTCCAAGATCCTCTAATTCCACGATTTTACGACTCTCTGATACTCCACCATTCCCTGATCCTATTATTCCGCCGTTTGATCATTCCCTGATCCCGGATTTCAGCCGGCTTTGAGAGCGGACAGGGAATTTCACCACCTCCGACCTTCCACCCGCATTTCTGTGCAATATTCCCGAGGGAATTCTCCACCTCAGGCCGGAGCTCGGTGCATCCCTCGGACACGACACCTCCACCCGCCCCAGACCTTTGGATTTCAGCAATGAAGGATTTCTGGAATGTTCCGGTGCCAAATTTAAACCCTGAGCTTGCGACACCCGGGGGTTAAAGGCAAACACTTCCCATGGCTGGCAGGGAGAGACTTAAACCTAATCCTAAACCCAAAGCTAATCCTAAACCCTGTCTGGAGATCGGGAGATGCGGCCTGACCTTAAACTGCTTTGGAGTCTGGAAAACTCCAAACTGGTTCCAGTCTGGAAATGCTCTGGAGGTCACCG